TTAAGATCAGCCTGGGCAACTTGGTAAGACTTTGTCTCTACAATAAATAAATAGATAAGTTAGCCAGGTGTGGTAGCACACGCCTGTAGTTCCAGCTACTTGGAAGGCTGAGGCAGAAGGATTGCCTGAGTCCAGCAGGTCGAGGCTGCAGTGGTGACAGAGTGAGACTCCAACTCAAAAAAAAAAAGAAAGAAAAGAAGACACCTAAGTGTCGCAAAAGATGAAAGGCAGGTAGAGAGTCTGAAAACATACCTGCTTGAATTTGAACATGACCAGTGAGTGTCCTTAGTCAAGTGACTTTACCTGCCTATGCCTCCCATGCCTGTCAGAGAAGTAGGGACATGGACAGTAGTATCTGACCCATGATGTTGTGAGAATAAAAATCTGAGATCATGGATTTCCTGATACCTTGGTCAGTGCTTACTCAGGGGTAGCTAATAATTTTATTTCTAAAATTAGAGGTGTAGTCCAGGCCTAGTGACTTGTACCTGTACTCCCAGTTACTCAGGAGGCTGAGGCCAGAGGATTGCTTAAGCTCAGGATTTACCAGCCTGAGCAACATAGTGAGACCCTTTCTCTAAAAAACAAAATTTTTAAAAATATTTTTAAAAATTAACTGGGCGCCCGGCTCGGTGGCTCAGCCTGTAATCCTGCGCGTTGGGAGGCGGAGGTAAGCGGATTGCCTGAGCCTGCAGGTTCAAGACCCACCTGGGAAACTTGGCAAGACCTCATCTCTACAATTAATCAAAAAATTGGCCGGGCGTGGTAGCTATGCCTGTAGTTCCAGCTACTTGGAAGGCTGAGGTGGAAGGATCACCGGAGCCCAGCAGGTCGAGACTGCAGTGGCCGGGAGCAGCCACTGCACTCTAGTCTGGGCGACAGAGTGAGACTCCAACTCAAAAAAAAAATAAAAATAAAATAAATAAAAATAAAAATAATTAAAATTAAAATTAACTGGGCATGGTGGCACAAGCCTGTAGTCCCAACTACTGAAAAGGCTGAGGTGGGAGGATTGCTTAAGCCCAGGTGTTCGAGGCTGCAGTGAACTATGATGGCACCACCACTGCTCTCTAGCCTGGTTGACAGAGTGAGACTCTTATCTCTTAAAAAAAAAAAAAAATAGAAGTGGCAGTGACATATGCATGTAGCAGAGCCCTGAATGAAAAGCTACTGTGTTGTTGTAGAATTGTACCTGAGATCTAAAAAGAACTAGGTTAGGCCGGGCTCAGTGACTCACTCCTATAATCCCAGCACTTTGGGAGGCCAAGGTGAGAGGATTGCCTGAGCCTGGGAGTTTGAGACCAGCCTGGGCAACTTGGCAAGACCTCGTCTCTACAATAAATCAAAAAAATTAGCCGGGCGTGGTAGCGTGCACCTGTGGTTCCAGCTACTTGGAAGGCTGAGGCGGAAGGATCGCCTGAGCTCAGCAGATCGAGGCTGCAGTGACCGTGAGCGTGCCACTGCACTCCAGCCTGGGCAATAGAGTGAGACTCCAACTCAAAAAAAGAAGAAGAAGAAGAAGAACTAGATTAGCAAGCAGCAGAATGAGTGAGAATGTTCTGCTGGAAGGGTGGAAGCTGTCACTGAAAGATTCTGAGAAAGGGATGTGGTTAGGACAGCCTGAAGTACCCTCTCAGTGTCCCTTCAGATTGCTCCCTTTTGAGGACCGTTTTTGGGAAAACTCAGCCATATGATCACCTGCCCACAGGCCAGCTGGGTCCTCATCTCCTCTGCCATGAGGGTACAGTACTTCATTCTCTTCTCCTTGGGAGGGGGAGCGGGGTAAGACAGCAGCTGACTTGCCCCACTGCTGGAGAGAATGCTCTCATCTGACATCTTTCCCAGGCTTGGTCAGATGACTCCAGACTGAATCTGGCATTTACTTCCTGAGGCACGGAACCTAGATTCAATTCGCCTGGACTCAGGCTGGGCCCTTTAGCCAGTGACTAACCAAAAATCACAGGGCACAGTGAACCGCTGCCGCCCGTGAGTGACCACATGACCTGAAGCAGCCCCTCCTCTCTGGCTGATGATTCAGTGTCACATGTAGAGTTGGGCACCGTGAGACTCATATTCAGGAACTCTTATAGAATTGGCCCTGTAATTTTCTTCTTCAGTCCTTTTCTCTGAAAGGAAAAGCAAACATATAGACCTTAGTTACAATTTTTAATTAATCCCTGTTTTTCTGTACCCAGGGCTCATGCTGTGCTTCTCTCTAAGACACATATACAATGTTTCAGTGGACACTCACGTCATGTTTGCCCAACCACGTCTTTTTTTTTTTTTGAGTTGGAGTCTCACTCTGTTGCCCAGGCTGGAGTGCAGTGCCACGCTCATGGTCTCTACAACCTCAACCTGCTGGCTCAGGCGATTTTTCCGCCTCAGCCTTCCAAGTAGCTGGACTACTGGCCTGCCTAGTTTTTTGATTTATTGTAGAGACAAGGTCTCACCAAGTTGCCCAAGCTAGTCTCGAACCCCTGGACTCAGGCATTCCTCTTGCCTCGGCCTCCCAAAGTGCCAGGATTACAGGATTGAGCCACTGTGCCCAGCCTCCAACCATGTCTTAATTACTAAAAATAGTCTTCTTTTTTTTTTAACATTCTAAGATGCTGCACTCTGTTTTAAAAAATTATTTTTGAGATAGAGCCTTGCTTTGTCACCCAAGCTGGAGGTACAGTCATGTGATCATAGTTCATTCACACCCAAGCTGGAGGTACAGTCATGTGATCATAGTTCATTCACCTCAGCCTATAGCTCCTGGGTTCAAGTGATCTTCCTGCCTCAGTCTCCTGAGTAGCTGAAATTATAGGTGCACACCACCATGCCTATCTAATTTTTTATTTTTTTGTAGATATGAGGTCTTTTTACATTGCCCAGACTGGTCTCAAACTTTTGGCCTCACGCGATCCTCCCACCACAGCCTCCAAAGGGCTGAGATTACAGGCATGAACCACCACACCCAGACAGAGACACTATACCCTTTATACATGAGATCCAAGGTTCACGTTAGTCCAGTATCTAGGGCTGTTGAAAAAATACAATTTGCATTTCATCTCTTCTTCCTGCCATTGCTTACCTTCTGTGGCAGCTTGAATTTGTGGTAAAAAGCCAAAAGAGAAGAAAGCAGAAAAAGGCGGAATATGAAGCAGATTGTTAGAACAGGTACCCATGTACATTGTCAGTAAACTTTTATTAAACAATTACTATGTGCAAGGAACTGTGGCTACAAAAGGGTTAAGACGCCACACGTATCCTTCATGCCTGCTCTCTGGGTAAGGAGCAAGATGCATAAGATAAGCAAATACTAATATAAAGTCAAAAATTGATGCTAGTAAAGTGATACATTAGAAATCAACTTAGAAGTTTGGGAGGCGGAGCCAGAACAGAATCTTTGCCTGTCTGTGGTAGTGAACTACTAGGCTGGGCAGGGAAGGGGCTGCAGTATACCCGCATGGGTGCTCACTGCCAGAAAAAACCAGGATGTTGGAATGAGATACTTGCCATCTAATTTGCTTCCTCCTAGCCTATTCTGAACTCACAGAAAATAGCTATAGGTCTAAAGGGACAAAAAAATCAAATATCTATTTTTGAAGCGTTTAAGGCCACCCAAACACTTATCTTTTTAAGTTATAGGATTCCGGATAGATGTTAACAGTAGTAATCCTGCTTTTTGATCCTTTTTTTCACCTGGAATGTCCTCCAAGTCTAGGCAGATAAAAGGACAGAAAGGTCAGAGGAGCAGCTAAAATAGAAGTCAGCATCAGAATTCAAACCCACAATGAATGTTGCGTGCCCAGAACAAGGGATGTCACTTATGCCTGCTGGAAGCCCCAGGCAAGCCAGTTCGTATTTCCATGGCAGTGGGTCGTGGTTTCATGTACTTGTGACGGGAGTGCAGTCACCAAGCTGCGTGCAGTATTGCTTTGCAGAGCGACGTTTCTATTCGTGGATTCTCCATACCAGCACCACATGTGCCTGAGATCATTAAGTTGAATGCTCTGAAGCTTTGTCAAGCCAAAGTGCTCAGGGCACAGCCTGAGGCTCTGTCTACCTTTCCAGGCTCCTGTGCTCATCACTGGGCATTTGTCTCTCTTGACAAGGTGCCATTGGAACAAGAGGGATGAGGCTTTCGTGCCCTCTGTAACCGCCGCTGGGTTCTGTCATTCACTGGAATACACTTGCTTATTCTTCTCCTGCTTGGATGATAATGCCAAGCCTGTCACCAATGTGATATCTTAAGCAAAGGAAGGGAGGAAGCTGAGCTGGGAACCTAAGGTTCAAGAAACAAATAGCTGGCCAGGCGTGGTAACTTACACCTATAATTCCAGCAAACTGGGAGGGAGAGGTGAGAGGATTGCCTGAGCCCAGGGGTTCGAGACCAGCCTGGGAAATGTGGTGAGAACTTGTTACAATAAGTTTTAAAAATTAGCCAGGCATGGTGGGGCGTGCCCCTGGTTCCAACTACTTGGAAGGCTGAGGTGAAAGGATCACCTGAGCCCAGCCGGTTGAGGCTGCAGTGGGTGTGAGAATGCCACTGCACTCCAGCCTGGGCGATGGAGTAAGACTCCAACTCCAAAAAAACAAAACAAAACAAAAAAAGAATATTGGGGCCAGACTTGGTGGCTCACACCTGTAATCCCAGCACTTTGGGAGGCTGAGGCAGGAGGATTGCTTGACCCAGGAGTTAGTTCTGGACCAGCCTGAACAACATAGTGAAACCCCATTGCTGTTTAAAAAAAAAAATAGAATATTGGAAGGAAATGCATCAAAATATTAGCAATAAATAATGAAAATAAGGCAGCTTGTTTTCCTTGATTGTTTCCTGCATGTCTAAGTTTCCTACAGTGAACATGTATGATTTTTGAATTCAGCATAAACAGTGTAGAGTATTGTTAGGGCTAAATCCCAATATCCCTGAGCTGCACCCAGATGCAGGAGCCAGGCAGAAGGAGGAGGAGAACTGGCCCCCCCCCCTGAGCTTGATCTCTGTCTCTCCACAGGAAAGGCTGAGGGGGATGGCAAGATGCACATCACCCTGTGTGACTTCATTGTGCCCTGGGACACCCTGAGTACCACCCAGAAGAAGAGCCTGAACCACAGGTACCAGATGGGCTGCGAGTGCAAGGTAAGAGGGACTCGCCTTCTCTGTGGCTTTCCCGTCTTCTGTGTCTCCAGGGGGACGACTGGGGTTCTGGTCCTGGCTCTCCAGAGCCTCTCAGTCTGCTCTGGCCTGATTTAGGTCTGAGCTCTGGGAAGATATAGCCACACCCCCACCCAAGGGTGAGGCTGGCCAGCTGGCTGGTGACAGAGCCTTTGGCCCCTGATCCCTAGAGAGCTGGGGAGCCCTGAGACACAACTCTGTGCAGAGGTATCTGGAAGGTAAGGGAATTTGAGGGCAAACCATGAATTTATCCTTGTGGCCTGTAGCATCTAGAAGAAGGAATTTTATGGGGAGAGCATGTATTTTCCTACAAATGTGCAAGTGCAAACACTTGTGTGCCTCATGAGAGAGCACCCCAGGTGCCACACTTTTCCCAACATTCTAGACGTTTCCACGCATGAATCCATGTAGATGTGAGGTCTGTGTGTTGAGAGCATCTGGAACACCTGCCTCTCTTCTCAAAATCGGCCCAGAGGTTGTGCCAAGAACTGCAATAGTAACGTAGTAATGCTCTTAGATGCAGCTGTGGAAGGTGACATCCTCCAGGGCTCCCAGGCTCAGAATGTGTGGCCTCTTCACACCCTGCGTCACCACCACTTCAGCCCTCACTCCTCCCCTAGGAAGCATTGCTGAGTACCAGGTGCCCCCCACCACCACCAAGGGGCTTGTGGGGCCCTGTCCCTTCTGACTGTCCCTCCTCCTGCACAATCAAAAAGCAAATTCCAAACTCATAGTCTCCAGCTACACATGCATTAAGCAAAACCCTTCTGTGCCCAACATGAAATCGAAAAGCAAGTGCTATAGGCCAGGGTCAGTGGCTCACATCTATAATCTCAATACTTTGGTCACAGCTAGGGGATTGCTTGAGCCCAGGAGTTTGAGCCCAGCCTGGGCAACATAGCAAGACCTCATCTCTACCATCTCATCTGGCATATGCCTGTAGTCCCCGCTCGGGAGGCTGAGGTGGAAGGATCACCTGAGCCCGGGATGTCAAGGCTGGTGAGCCATGATTGTGCCACTGCACTCCAGCCTGGGCAATAGAGTGAGTCCCTGACTCAAAAACAAAAAAGAAAAAAAGAACAAAAGAAAGAAAAGAGCGTTCTTCCTTTTACTTTCCACGCCAGCGAAGGTGGTCACCCTCTTGTAGCCTTAGGTTTCTTGGCCAAAATTCTAGTTGCCAGTCCCTTAAAGGCTTCAGTTTGAGAGGAAGGTGCGGGACTTTTAATTTTGCTCAACTCTGCCTCCAGGAAACTTTGGAACCTTTATTGTCATTGTAGTTATTATACCCTGGAGGGCAGGGCTAAACTGAAGCCATTGTGTTATGCTGGGAAGGTAGACCAGATGGCCCATAATGAGTCAGCAGGAGGTGCTGAGATGGGTGGGTGCAGAAGCTTCCCCCCAGGCCCCAGCCCTCTTGGGCCAGTGGCCTACTGCTGTACAGAGAGCCTGGAACTCGGGAAAGGCTGCTGTCCTTGAATGTCCTTGAGCAGGCGCGTGGCGAGGCCCTCAGAGCGGCCTTGGCCCTGCCTCTTCCTAGGTGTCCCTGACTAAATCCACCCATGTGCCCCTTCCCAGATCACGCGCTGCCCCATGATCCCCTGCTACATCTCCTCCCCGGACGAGTGCCTCTGGATGGACTGGGTCACGGAGAAGAACATCAATGGGCACCAGGCCAAGTTCTTCGCCTGCATCAAGAGAAGCGATGGCTCCTGTGCGTGGTACCGCGGCGCGGCGCCCCCCAAGCAGGAGTTTCTCGACATTGAGGACCCATAAGCAGGCCAACAGCGCCCCTGTGGCCCACTGAAAAGCCTCCAAGGGTTTAGACTGGTCCAGCTCTGACATCCGTTCCTGGAGACAGCATGAATAAATCAGTCATCTAACGGGTCCAAATTAGTATGATTCTGCACCCCCCACCCCCATTTTCCTTTTAAATATGGCCATGGGTCTGGAGGGTGAGGTGAGCCCAGGGTCCTCACTCCACACTCCCTCCGCCGGCCTGGGCACTGTGTGTCTGGGGTTTCTATCCTTGGGTGCCGGCAGGGGTGGGACACACGGACTTCCCTCCAAGGCCTTTCCTTGGCACCTTAGGGGTCTCCTAGCTTGGTGAGGGCAGAGCCTAGAAATGCGCATTCTGCAGAAACTTTTGAGGGTCGTTGCAAGACTGTGTAGCAGGCCTACCAGGTCCCTTTCATCTTGAGAGGGGCATATCCCTCGTTTTCTGCAGCTGCCACACCTCTGGCCCTAGGTAGGGTAGAGTCCTTGCCCCTGGCAAGTGCCCCCCCATCTTCCCCTGTACCCACCATGGATTCTCAGCACCTGTGACTCCTCCAAGTCCAGGAGCAGCCCTGGAACCAGTGTCTTGTTTTGAAGGAGCCCCCATTCATTCTGTTCAGCTGCAAAATTCCAACAGGAGCCTCCCTCGGGGCCTTGCAGAGATATGGAAACCACATTTAAGTCCCCTACCATGCACACACTCCCCAGCCCCTAGGGGGAGTCTGCGAGATCCTTTTCTGAGCACAAGCAATTCATCCCAAGCTTCCTTCCCTTTCTGGCATCGGGCATCTCAATTGAGTCACACAGCTTTGCTTTATCCAGGGTTGTGTGCAGACACGGGCTGTGCTCCCGCATCCTGAGGACAGAAAGGGCTGGGTCTTGCTGTGCTGCGTCAGGTTTAGTGTGGTCTCCCTCCAAGACTGACAGCCTCTGTTCCGCGTGTGGGTATCTGCAAGTGAAGTTAGCTAAGCGTGTTAACATGTCCAACCCAGGAAGTGAAGAATGTTAGAGGTGGGGAGCTCTGGTGACACTCTCACTTCTTTCTGAGCCTCCAGGACACTGTCACCTGTTGTCAGAGACATCTCATTTTTCTAAAGATGAATCCTCAGATGCCATGTGAACCTGAGGGACAGGCGTGCCATCTTCTGCTTCTATTTCTTATTTGACAAAGATCACCCAGTTAAGAAACTTCATAGGGAACCAGGGAACCTTCTTGTTCCCTAAAAATGGTTTCCTGATGCCGCTAAAGGAGAGGTTGAGATAGGGAGAACTTTCTCAGTAATAATCAAGGCCATCTCTTTTTTTTCCTCCTACCTATGTTGTAAAGATAAACTGTTCTGGGGATGTGCATGCATGCTATGCAGACATACACATATATACGCACACGCACACACAAACTGGAGCCCGGCAGCCTGTGAGTGATCCTTCTGCACCCGCTTCCAAAGTCACCACCTTCTAAGCCTGTTCCATTCTGCAGCGACCCCAAACTAAGACGTCTGACCCCCAGAGTGGCATGCAGCCCCCTGCCCGCCTGGGACCTGGTCAGCACAGATCTTGATGACTTCCCTTTCTAGGGCAGACTGGGAGAGTATCCAGGCATCCCCCCCCTGCCCCGAGGGCGTTTTCATGCTGTATAGTGACATAAAGTTGGTAAGATGTCATAATGGACCAGTCCAATGTGATTTCAGTATATACAACACCACCAGACCCCTCCAATCCATATAACACCCCACCCCCGTTTGCTGCCTGTGCGGTGATATCATATGTAACATTTACTCCTGTTTCTGCTGGTTTTTTCAATGTTTTGGTTTGTTTCTGACATCAGCTGTAATCATTCCTGTGCTGTGTTTTTTTATTACCCTTGGTAAGTGTTAGACTTGCACTTTTTAAAAAAAAGTTTCTGCATCGTGGAAGCGTTTGACCCAGAGTGGGAAGCATGGTTCTCACCTATGACGATGGATTCCTTCAGATTTTTCCTTTAGTTCTTTTGAGTATCTTTGCTTTTATCCATCTCCCATCTTTTGTTCTCTGGTTCGAATTAGTACAAAGTAAAGGATCTTTGAGTCGGTTCATCCTAAAAGATGGCCTTTCTATTTGATCCACGCACATTGGTCTTCTAACTATGCTGAGCAGGAAAAAAACAAAACAAAAACCCAAACAGATCAAGATGAAGTGCCCGGTGGCAACAGAGAGTTGAAGCCACTCAAATACCCTCACAGTAAATAATTGCAATATATATATAGTTTAAGAAGAATCTTCATTTGGCATTGTTTAATTTATGTGTTATATTCTAAGTACTCCCCGTTTCTCCCTGTATCTTTTTCATCATGCAAGCTACTCAAAATATTTAAAATAAAGTTTACATTGTAGTTATTTTCAAATCTGTGCTTGATAAGTATTAAGAAATATCAGACTTGCTGCCATAATTTAAAGCTTTGTTGATTTTGTTTGTTTTTGTTTGGACTTGGGGGGGAGGGGGGAGCCATGTGTTTATGCTGGAATATGAAGTCTGAGACCTTCCTGTGCTGGGGACACATGAGAGTTGTTGAAAGTCGACAAGCAGACTGCGCATGTCTCTGATGCTTTGTATCATTCCTGAGTGATCGCTCAGTCCATGGACAATAAACAGTATTATCAAAGAACGTTGGCTCTCTTGGCTGTCTCCATGTGGCTGTATCTGATGTTCAGACCTGCCACTTTCTAGCTCAAGAATGGAAGTGAGTTAGACGGGCGTGGTGGGGTGCATCTCTAGTTCCAGCTACTTGAAAGACTGAGATGGAAGGATTGTCTAAGCCCAGCAGGTCGAGGCTATGGTGGCCGTAAGCATGCCACTGCTCTCCAACCTGGGCGACAAGAGTGAGACTCCAACTCAAAAAATAAAATTAAAAAAAAAAACCCAGAATGGGAGTGAGCCCCTGCAAAGGAACCTCTCCTGTCTGGGGAGAAGGGGTCTCCCTGTGTCATCTAGAGAAACAGGCCTGTGTGGGATGCAGCAGAGATGGGCAAGTAAAAGTGATGTGGTTTTCTTTATTTTTTATTTTTTGGCAGGATCTTGCTCTTGTTGTCCAGGCTGGTGTGCAGTGGTGCAATCATAGCTCACTGAAGCCTCAAACTTCTGGGCTCAAGTGATCCCCCTGCCTCAGCCTCCCAAATAGCTGGGACTACAGACATTCCCTATCACACCCAGCTAATTTTTTATTTTTTATTTTGTAGAGAGAGGGTCTCACTATGTTGCCCAGACTGGTTTCGAACTCCTGGTCTCAAGCGATCTTCCTGCCTTGGCCTCCCAAAGTGCTGGGATTACGGGCATGAGCCACCACACCTGACTGTTTTCTTAAGTGGACCAGGGGGCAGGGATGTACAATGGGGTTCCCTTCCTTCATTCAGTGCATGCCTCTTTGTGGAACCTTCCCAACATACAAGTGAAGAGAGAGACGCAGTGCCATGCATTCATCTCACAGCTTTGACATGAGTATGATTCATGGGTGGCTTTCTTCCTTCCATGCCCACACCCACTCTCCATCTACCCTAAGATTATTTAGAAGGAAAAATTCTAAGCATCAAACAGTTTCATTTGTAAATATTTCAGTACCTATGTCTAAACAGAACTATATTTAAAACACTTTCTGGCCAGGTGTGGTGGCTCAAGCAAGTAATCCCAGCACTTTGGGAGGTCGAGGCAAAAGGATTGCCTGAGCCCAGGGGTTTGAGACCAGCCTGGGCAACTTGGTGAAATCTCATCTCTACAATATATCCCCCCCCCAAAAAAATTAGCCAAGTGTGGTAGCGTGTGCCTGTAGTTCCAGCTACTTGGAAGGCTGAGGTGGAAGGATCGCCTGAGCCTAGTAGGTCAACACTGGGGTGGCCATGCGCTTGCTACTGCTCTCCAGCCTGGGTGACAGAGTGAGACTCTGACTCAAAACAAGCAAACAAACATTTCCAAGATACTTTTATCACACCTTAAACACTTCCTTAGAATTCATTAATGTCATCAAATATCTAGTCAGTGTTCTGTCATCTCTGGTTGTCGCAGAAATTTTTTTTATGGTTTATTAGATCCAAATAAGATCCATACATTGCAGCTGGTTGACATATCTCTCAAGCCTCTTTTATTCCACAGCTTCCTCCTCCCTGCCCCACCCTATCTCATGCTAGGAAAGATAGTCCCATCATAAGTTAAACTTTTATAATTTAAAAGCCCCATGTAAGCTGGGCTCGGTGGCTCAGCCTGTAGTCCCGCGCCTTTGGGAGGCTGAGGTGAGTGGATTGCCTGAGCCCGTGGGTTCGAGACCCGCCTGGGCAACTTGGCGAAACCTCATCTCTACAATAAATCAAAATGAGCCGGGCATGGTAGCACGTGCCTGTAGTTCCAGCTACTTGGAAGGCTGAGGTGGAAGGATCGCTGGAGCCCAGCGGGTCGAGGCTGCGGTGGCCAGGAGCGGCCACTGCACTCCAGTCTGGGTGACAGCGTGAGACTCCAACTCAAAAAAAAAAAAAAAAAAGCCCCATGTGACTTCAAGTCACCAAATGAACATTCTTTAATGGTGTGTTAGAACAGTCGCCCATGTGCAGAATGTGTTCCTCCAGGGACAGCCAGAAGAATCATGTTTCTTGGTTTGTACACCCAAGGCCTAGAAAGCAAGACCAAACTCACAGAGGCTGCTTGAAGAAGTAAAGACTTAGACTAATTTTGTACCCATGTCTCTGTCACAAGACATTAAATGCCACCCACTTAATATCACCTACTTAATATCCACCCACTTAATATCACCAACTGCAGGAATAGTTGTTTTTTCCACATGACCAAATAGGGAAAATGGTTCAGTGGTGTAATAATAATAATAATAATAATAATAATAATCCAAAAACTTTCAGGCTCAGGTAAGGCACTGTGGCTTACGCCTTGTAATCCCAGCACTTTAGGAGGACTGCTTGAAGCCAGGAGTTGGAGACCAGCCTGGGCAACATAGCGAGACCTCGTCTCTATAAAAAATTTAAAAACTTAGCTGGGTGTGGCTGTGTGTGCCAGTAGTGCCAGCTACTTGGGAGGCTGAGGCAGAAGGATCATCTAAGCCCAGGCAGTCAGGGCTGTGGTGAGCTGTGATCATGCCACCGCATCCCAGCCTGGGTGATAGAGTGAAACTCTCAAATTCAAACAAACAAACAAAAACAAAATTTTCAGGTTCATACAAATAACCTTCCTTGGCATTTGCAGGTCACATTTGGGATTTTAGCAAACAGCACACCAGATGATTGCTACCCATTTCAATTATCCATGTATTTAGATCAAACATGACTTAAAAAAAAAACTCACTATGGAAATTTTTAAGCATATACAAAAACACAGAGAATGATATAACAAACACCATGTGTCCATGTTCCAGTTTCAACAATTATCCAAGTTTTGTTGATCTTTGCAAACAATTTTAAATCAGTTTGTAGACCCACATATGGGGTAACCAGATTGTTAGGGACACGACCAGACACATTATTTCCCCCTCAGTCTTGCTCAGCGGGGATAGCTGAGGCTGGCCAGGCTCCCTGGTCCAAACACCCAACAACAGAGATGTGTGCATTTGACATGGAAGAGATGACACAGGATCTAATTTGAAGGAATGTGGGGCCTGAGAATGGGGTGGAGCCAAGAGGGCTAATGGAAGAATTCGAGCCTAGTTGTAGCATACATAGGAGCACTATCTTTTCCCTCCTAATATTTTGTTTTTGTTTTGTTTTGTTTTTGAGACAGGAGTCTCGCTATGTGGTCCAGGCTGATCTCGAACTCCCGGGCTCAAGTGATCCTCCTGCATCAGCCTCCCAAAATGCTGGGATTACAGGAGTCAGCCGCTGTGCCCGGCCCCTCCTAATAACTAATGGATATTTTTACCTGATCTAACATTAAAAAAAAATCAAATCCAAACAGTGGGGATACAGATTTTCACTGACAACAGTTTTATTATAGGTGATCTGCTGTGACCATAGATTTTGCATTAGGGCTTTGAAGTTCATGGGAGAAGAGGCCTATCTCTAGCCTTAGGCTCACCTTATTTCCCTTGCCTTGAATTACCAAGCAGAGCGAGGCAGTACTTTGAGTTGAGGGAAGCGGTTAGTTATACGGACACTGACAATTAAGTTCGCGAACTCATACTACGAAAGATGCTATATACCACATTGGTGAATATCACTACAGTCTCCTTTGAAGTACTCCCCTTGGAAAGGTATACACTGATGTCAGCACCTAATCCACCCATCACAGCAGTTTTGGAACTCTTTGTCTGGAATGGCCATCTGAGCCGTCATCCTATTACCCTTGGTGTCCTGAATGCCATCAAAATGTCTTCCTTTATTTTCTTTATCTTTGGGTAATGAAAAAAGTCATTTTTCTACCAATGTTTGTTTGGTCTGCTAGGCTTCTCCTCGTCAGTCGACACTTTTGACTCATAATTCAATGAATTTTTTGCAATATTTTCATCATTTTTGCTCGTTACTGGCCATCCTGACCTCTCTTCATCAGCGACACTTTCTCTTGCCTCAAAAAAAGTTGGATCCGTTTCTACGCTGCCATTTTCTTCATGGCATGATCCCCATAAACTTGGACTAACATGTCCCTGATTTCACTTCCACTCTTGCCAAGTTTAACAAGAAATTTAATGTCTGTCCATTGCTCCAACTCAAGCTTCAACATTCTTGTGACGACACACAAAAACACGCAACAACAATCATGAACGCCACTCAGCAAGACACCGCCATGTGTCAGACCACGAGCACAGCTTTGAAACACCGATAAACCAAGGTTATGAAACCTTACCGAATTATTTGTACAGTGTTGCCAGTGTAAACGCACAGTAGCAAGTTCATGAACCTAATTGTCAGACCTCATATAGGGACTTTTCTCCTGCAAGAAACAAATTGTGTGTGGGGGCAGGAGAAGACAAGGCAAAACATAAGATAATTCTACACATTTGTATTCCATAACAACTGGGAGGAACACTCCCTTTTCAGTTAAGCTAGCAAAACAAAAACATGAGACAAAGCCAAACCAGAGCCTGCAGAAAGGCAGGGTGTCAAGCTGGGGTCAGTATCAGAGAAGGTAAGTTAAGGAGCAGTTGAGAACGGGAGTAAAGATGGAGTGCAGATATAATGCTGTGTACATTACGTAGAAATGAAGAAAACAGGAAGTTGATTTTTCTTTTTTTTTTTGAGTCGGAGTCTCTGTCGCCCAGACTGGAGTGCAGTGGCCGCTCCCGGCCACCGCAGCCTCGACCTGCTGGGCTCCGGCGATCCTTCCGCCTCAGGTTTCCAAGGAGCTGGAACTACAGGCGTGCACTACCACGCCCGGCTAATTTTTTGATTTATTGTGGAGATGAGGGCTCACCAAGTTGCCCAGGCAGGTCTCGAACCCGCGGGCTCAGGCAATTCACCTCAGCATCCCAAGCCACAGGATTACAGGCTGAGCCACCGAGCCCAGCTTGATTTATCTTTTTAGGACAGTCAACATGTCTTGCTTTGCTCCTGCAGACAGAGTCTGGGGGATACCAAGCACAAGCTCCCAAAAATCCTTTCCCAGTGGAGAGTCACAGAGGATACCCTTAATTTCCCCAGCAATGAGTTGTGACAAAGTGTGTGAAATGTTGCCAACCAGTGA